TATATATCCCTAAATCTATTCCTGTAAAATCTAGAATACACACGATAATCTTATTTTCCCGAATTAAGAAGAATAATTCGCTAGATTCTAGTATACTCAAGAGATAATACCGAGAGATCCTTGACAGCCTGGCGAATCGTTACAATATTCTCCTGGACTAATTCTACCATCATTTATTTTATTTATAGTTTGACACTAAAAATTATATAATAGAAATAGTACAAGAGCTAATTATTACATGCCCCCATGAAAACCTTTAAAAGAAATCGTAACTATAAATACGCACCATGGATCACTGATAATATCAAGCTACTTCAAAAACTCAGAAATAAAGCTCTAAAGAGATTTAGGGATATAAATAATAATAATCATTACTCTTATTACAAACAACTTCGTAATTACACTACTTTTGCCATACGTGCAGAAAAAAAGGCCTATTTAAGAAATAAATTTAGAAACTGTACTACAAAAGAAAAATGGACAGAGTTACAAAAGCTCAATTTGTTAAAAAATAAAGAAATGAGGATACCGGATCATCTTAAAGATGTCAATCATATAAATGATTTTTTTATTTGGTCAGCTGGTAATCCTATCCCACCTAAACAAGAAATTTTAGATTTTTATAGAAATAATCTTAAGCTTGATGTTCAACAAAAGCTTCAGTTTCGTCAAGTTGAACAATATGAAGTTTTGAAAATAATCTCGACAATAAAAACCCAGGCTTGTGGATCTGATCATATAAACATAACCATGATTCAACTGTGCTGCCCCTTTATTGTCCCTTTTTTAACAGACATCATAAATGAATGTCTAACGCGATCCTATTTTCCAAATCCTTGGAAGCTTGCCTTTGTTCGCCCTCTGCCAAAGATAAATCCGCCAGTTGAATTTAAAGATCTACGCTCAATCAGCATACTCCCCGCTCTCTCAAAAATACTTGAAAAAATTGTCGATTCACAAGCTAGATGTTTTTTAAATGAACATAACATTCTTCCATCTAAGCAATCGGGATTTCGTGGGGGCTATAGCTGCGCCACAGCAATGGCAAATGTCACTGACGATATTTTTCAAGCATGGGATGAAAATAGAGTTAGTGTATTAATTCTACTCGACTATACAAAAGCTTTTGATTTAATTAACCACGAAATAATTCTTTCTATTTTGCAATATATAGGATTTGCTGAGGCCACAATAAAATTCTATAGATCATTTCTAAGTGAACGTAGACAACGGGTGGTTCTTGATAACTCCTTCTCAAATATTGAAAATGTGGACGTTGGCGTACCACAAGGAAGCATCCTTGGTCCGCTACTGTTCACAATATATACAGGTAGATTTGGCGAATGTCTAGAGTTCTGTAATTATCATTTTTACGCTGATGATACGCAGCTCTATAGCTCGTTTAGAATAGACGATTTGGAGGCTTCAAATATTTCGATAAATTCTGACCTTGAAAATCTAATTACCTTGTCAAAGGATCATCAATTAAAAATCAATCCCTCCAAGTCGTCTGTCACTGTGTTTGGTAGTGAAGCTCATAGAGCCATAGCAGAATCTGACCTCATTATTAGGATTAATGACGTACGCCTTGAAATAAGTAAGTCTACGAAATCATTGGGGCTTATTGTGGATTCTGATCTCCGCTTTCATGAGCATGTGACAAGTAAATTGAGGAAAGCATATGGTGCATTGAAATTGTTGTTTAATCAAAGACATTTTTTGACTCAAGATGTAAAGAGGGAATTGTGTGATTCGTTAGTACTCTCGCACTTTAACCACTGCGATACAGTTTACGGATCGTGTATTGATCAACGCACAACCAGAAGAATTCAAAAAGTCCAGAACTCCTGTCTGCGATTGATTTTTGGTATACGTAGAGGAGAGCGAATCTCGCATAAGCTAGGGGAAGCGGGTTGGCTAAATATGTTCAATCGCCGAAAATTACATTTTGCATGTTTTTGTTACAAAATTATTAAAAATCAAACCCCACTCTATTTATTTAATAAAATTAAATTTAGGGCGGATGTTCATCAGTTGAATCTCCGCCTTAGAGGCTTTTTAACTGTACCAAGACACAGAAAAGAACTTTTTAAAAGATCTTTTTCATACAATGTTGCCTCCTGTCTTAATAAGCTTAATGTTGTGTCTTTTGTGCAGTCTGGTGCAGTGTTTAAAAATAAAATTAAGAAGATACTGTTTGATAGTCAATAGTGTGAAGTATGAAATTCCAATAAATGCTCTATTTTTCCTCTCTTTTTCTTTCTTCTGTCTTGTCTTTCTCTTGTTTTCTCTTCTCATTTCTTCCCCTCCTCCATTAGGATTGCTGAGAGAATAGTTATCATTTAATCATTTTTTATTCTGTTTCCAAATGCTTACTGGGCAAGGTAAGTCAATATCGGATAGGCGCATATTTTGAATTATTTTTTTAAGTTATGGTAGGCCTAAACAGTATCTGGTCTCATACCAGATGTCTGCAATGACATGGCCTTTTATTTTTTTCATTCAATAATTTTAAATATCTATTTCAGCTGTACATTATAATTGTGATTGAGAAAAATAATAAATTTATATTATTATTATTATTATTATATAATGCTGTTCCAGCTTTTTACTTTTGGTTACGATGGTACATTATGTATATTATGTATATCTTAGAAGCTCGGTTAATACAGAGCATAGACGCGCTTACTTCGAATAATCAGGGTTTTTGGGTTTTTAGATTTGCTCTATTAATCCAGAGCTCGGATAATCGGGGTTCTACTGTACTTTCTTCTCTAATAATTAATATCGATATTATTGTCTATTTTCTGATACAGAGACAGAGAGACAAACGCGGAAATCAACATGACCATTGGGTACATTCAGGCGGTGCCAGCGGCTTAGTTCAGCCACTCAGCGGGAACTTTATTCTCGAAACAGGGAAGCAGCGTTCTCATTGGAACGGTGGTTCTGTCTTTGTCGTCCGACATAACACTTACAATGACAGAGCAATCGTTCTTATGAGAACGCTGTTCCTTGGTTTCGAGAATAGAGTCCCTGCTGAGTGGCTTAGCTTAGCCGCTGGGACCGCCTGAATGTACCCATTGTCTGTGATTGTCGACATTCTTTACTCTCAACTCTACTGCTTTCTCTTTCTATTTTCCAAAATAAAGGAAAGAGAGACAAATTTATATCGTACATCCTTGGTTTCCCTAATAATTTTAAAGTCTCTACTGCTTCGACACCCGTGTTTTTAATTCTAGGACCAATAACGTAATTTTATCGACTTTACGTCCAATTCCACTGATTTTATCAATTTTACCGAGATATGGGTAGTATTACGTAATTTTATGTAAGTTACTGGTAATTTTACCTTCGGTAATTTTACCTTCGCAACTCTAACCCTGTTCCATAGGAGTGACATGGAGGTGCGTAGCTGTGGGTTAAAGATGAAGACAAACTCGATCAAGCATAAAAAATGTTTCTGTAATATTATTGACAATGGATAAATGTCTCTTCTGCATGCGGGCACATTGTCTCACAGCGTCAACACTGTTTAGATCTCAAACTCCGAGAACGCGTGCAAAAACAGGGACTTCATCTTACTACACTTCACTCGTGTACATTTGTCGCATTTTTATCATTTTTGTTCTTTGTTTTGCAGAATTTGTCATTTTTATCATTTTTTTTCCTAATATTTGATGATAAAATAATCCCCTGTCAGTTGACTTTTGTTTTACCTATATTTAAAAACCAGCTTTTCTAACTCATGTTAAATTGAGGTGTCTGTTTTTTGCTTTATAATTATTTTTGGTGATAGATCACTTTAGGTCCCTTTGATTTTCAATATGATTTTGATTATTACTGATAAACAAAGCAATTTCAAGATGGTTAGCGAGAAAAAAAATATGGATCCTTGAATATTTATCAAGTTATGATTTTTTTAATTTAATTTTTTTCTTTGTTGATTGTGCATCTTTGATAGGTATAGCGATATTAAGCTGATAAGAATAGATATTATTTATTGATCTGTGTCAAAGGTTGAGAAGCGAGAGGATATAAGGCATTAGTGACTAGTGATTTTTTACAATTATTATTATTTTGTTCATTTATTTTGTTTACTTTAATAGATTTCTATTTTATGGCAAAATCAGCATACCACCTTGGTAAATATACTCCTGTACAAAATTATCGCACCACTGCTTATGGTGCTTATGTGCAGTGGTGATGCGATAATTTTGTCCAGGAGTATATTTACAATATTTAATGTTTATGGAAAGGGTTTTTTTGAGGTTTTTTACGGATTTTATTGATTTTTTACTGGTTTTTTACTGACATTTTGAAAATTCCTACCTAATTTGTGATTAGTTTCCTTAATTAACTTAGTAGTTGTCTATTAATGACCTGACGGTGCAATCTTTGCATTGAGGTAAATGGTCAACATTTTGAACAATTGTTGTAAACCATAATTTATTTGTTAATAAATAGACAAAATTAATAAGTAAACAGTGATTTAATTATTGCGAAGAATAAAAGTACCAAACAATTTTTTTGCTCTACAGCCCAAATGGCTCATTTGCGGACATATGTTTATATAAACAAAAATGCTTGTTTTTTGTTTTGATGTCCCTTACTACCCTTTGAAGTTTGTCGGTATCTTTTTAGGACACCCTGTATATTTAAATAATATATTGTTTATCAAAACAATTAACTCATCCATATTTTTTTTTCTTCATTATGTCCTAATAATTGCTCCAATGCAAATTTGAACATGGAAAAATTGTCCGTTTTTAGGGACCTAATGTGTTCTAGACCCCAAATTATCATAATATGCATACCAAAAAGACACAGAAAAAGAGAATCGTGAACAGAAAACCCTAGGAAATTTAGTTTGGATAAAGATTTCAATAGGTTTTTTGCCTGCTTTGATCTCCTTTGGCTTTGATACACTGTCATTACTGTCAATAAAAAACAGTTTTCACACCCTTCAAAAAACAGTTTTCACACCCTTTTTTTTTCAGATGCAGTCATCTGACAAAGACTTCCGCTTCATGGCGACAAATGATCTTATGTCTGAGCTCCAAAAAGACAGCATCAAATTGGATGATGACTCTGAACGTAAAGTTGTTAGAATGCTTCTAAAACTGCTTGAAGATAAAAATGGAGAAGTGCAGAATTTGGCAGTGAAATGGTGAGAATGAAATTAATAATATTTATTGGATTTATCAGAACATCAAAATAATTAAATTTCAGAATTATTTAGACTTTTAAATGAAACAGAAAATGATGTTTTTATTTAAAGGTGGTAGGTACCTAATGATTCAATGAATGAAAAACTTTAGACTTCCACATTTACTTTTGATTTACTCTCATGTTTCAACAGTCTTTCATCTGCAATCGAAACGTTGCGAGAATAAACTAAAAGTTACTTAATGGAAGTTTAAAGTCGAGGGGTAAACAGATCCAAAAACTTTGTACACTTCACCTCCAATAAAGGCATTTCTTGAAGTCCTGCGCGGTCCTACTAAGTCCTAACCTGTCACATGCTGCATGTGATGGGCGTCCAATTATGATAAATGATCATATGACATATACAGTGTGTCCCGCTTAAGGACTGACCACCCTTCTAAAATTTTTATTTTTTAACCGATTCAATTCATTTTTTTTTGTCTTAAAGCTACTCGATTTTGGCACTTATTTGGCTCATAATTTTATTTCTGCGGTTGTACTGGTGTACAGGGTGTCCATATTTATAGGCTCAAATCTCAATTAGTACTATTAGGGATTTTTTTAGAAAAAATCTGATAGCAGATTCTTGTTTAGAATGGTCTAAAACCCGAATGTACTAATTTTTGTTTCAATATGATACAGGGTGATAGCAACAAATTTTCAAAATTTAATGGACCAAACCGGAAAAATATCATATTTTGAGGCCTTGAGAACAACAAAACTTGATATAACATAGTTTTAGAACATTCTTAACCAAAACTTGTAGTAAGCTTGTCTCAAAATATAACATTTTTGCAGTTTGATTCATTAAATTGGGAAAATTTGTTGTGATCACCCTGTATCGTATCGACATAAAAATTAGTACATATGGGTTTTAGACCATTCTAAACAAGAATCTGCTATCAGATTTTTTCTAAAAAAATCCCTAATAGTACTTATTGAAATTTGAGCATAGAAATGTGGACACCCTGTACACCAGTACAGCCGCAGAAATAAAATTATGAGCCAAGTAAGTGTCAAATTCGAGTAGATATAAGACAAAAAAAAAATTAATTGAATCGTTTGTAAATTAAAAATTTTAGAAGGGTGGTCAGTCCTTAAGCGGGACACACTGTATGAGCACTGATAAGCACAGACGCGCATTGGCGGAGAACAAATTCGGTCGTGAACCAAGATGTTCTCGGTTCTTGTTTCGATTGATTTGAAAATCTGAAATATTGAAATTTTTGTTTATAGTTAATATTTCATTTCCTAGCACTCAGTCGTTGCCAAGGAACGAAAAATAGCGATTAGGAAATATTATTCTCTTACAGTTATTTGTGAACTAAAACTAAATACCCAATATACAGCAACCTACAACACAAAAATTATGGCTTACCTTAATCATAAATATTCTTTATCTGAAGCTTCTTGGATAAATTTGTTGGTTGGTCCTTTAGTTGAATTCTTGGATTTTTTTGACCTATAACCCTCTACCTGCCGTTTCAATAATGACCGAAGTTTCGGATTTCAAGATATATATGTCGCAGGCTTAATGTAAAATCAGTCTTATTATAATACGCCTAGGCTTTTTCAATACGACTAGGCATTTTGTAATACTACCCAAATACTTAAGAATTTCACAATTAGTAATTTCAGTCGCATTATAATACGCCTGCTGCGTGTTAGTCTTATTCTTAAAATGAACCTGCGTTAGAATCCGACTATATGAAATCCGTCGTATTATAACGACTAATGGCGCATCAGGCGAATTGTATTGAATAAAACTTTCAATGCGCCTTTTGGCCGATATATTGTGCTGAACACTAACTTTCTTATTCTTTATGCTAAATTGACATTTAAATTACCAAAGTTTAAGTATTTTTTCCAAATTTCATCTCAGTAGCATAAATATTAGGAAAGCTAGCCTTCAGCGCAACATGTATCTATGAACACCCAGTACTTTAACATATATTTTGAAGAGTTTAAACTATATAAAATACAAATTATATATTTAATTTATTTATTACAGCATGATCCGCTTTCATGGCATTTGCTACTACATTTCATATGAGCTTTAAAACATAAACATTTATTGTTGACACTGTGCTTTGCTTGGCTTGCAAGAACACTTTTCAAATCCCTGTCCTTCGAATTTTGAAAATTTTCTTAGAGCTTCTCGTAAGGAAATTGTTTTTCCTTGTGGAATGCAATCTATTTCATTACTTTGGCAGTCAGTGATTTCTTCTCTTAAAAACCATCGATTTAACAAGCCGTGTGTGGTACCAATTTCATAAACTCCATTCATAATACTCACTACAGTTCCTAATATATTTTTGGGGTCCAGTGGTCCTCTATCTACTTTAGGAACTTCAATTGCAATATTTTGACCGATATCAAGAATTCTTAAATTTTCAACAATGATAATTATTATTATTATTCGACTGACACACTGTCAGTCGTATCATAATACGACGAATTTATCTAGTCGGATTGGAAAATAATCCCTTGCAGGTTCATTTCAACAATAAGACTAGCAAGCGGCAGGCGTATTATAATAAGCCTGAAATTCTCAGTCAAATTGTGTGATTCCTAATTATTTGGGTATTATTGCAATACGCCTAGTCGTATTAAAAAAGCCTAGGCGTATTATAATAAGACTGATTTCACAATAAGCCTGCGACATATACACATTATATCTGAATGCAAATATTGCCTTGAACATTGTATAGTTCGCGCTCAAAGTTGGATTATTCCATTACAACATTTTCTGAGAGCAGTATTCACTGCCTCCGGGAGTTCTAAAGGGTTCCATAGTATGTAGGTATACCTCGTAGGCAAAGCCATATTTCCAGACTCCGTATTGCCAGGCAATCTTCACGGTCATCCGAGAATGTTCAGCTTTTCCCGAGACTTCTCCTACTAAGTATGCATTGTACTGTTATTAAGCCAATCGACTTCACAAAATAAGCTAATACCTTTTACTAAACTTTATACTGTTGCTACACTATGTTGCAGAGGTAAATTGAATAAACACAACTTAATGTTTATAATTATTTATTAATCTACAAATAAGAGCAAAACCTATCTGTATCTGAAGTTTGGGAGGGTGTTATGGAATGCCACAGCACTTAGTTCACATTAGGCCCATTGTGCGCCTCCACAAGAGGAAAGGTCATCCTTAGCTCTTCATCCAGCTTAGCGATTCCACGTAGGCGGGCGATGACGTCGTCGAGGGCGGTGCCTCTGATCGCTTCTAGCGATGGGTACGATTGGCCTAATCTGGATCTGCGTATTGGCGAAAGAGCGGTGCAGTCACAGATAATGTGCTCTATCGTCTCGTCTTCTTGATAACAAGCTCTACACAAAGATGTGGTACTGGTGGTGCTTGACTGACTTAACTTACAGTGGCCGGTCAAGATGCCCATTATTAGGCGTAGCCTTTTCCTGGTCAATGACAGCTGCTGGCTCACTGCAGCTTTATCCAGGTAGCTTAGTAGTTCCTTGGATAAGTTTCAGCCAATGGGCCACTTTCACATTTTTCAAAAACATATTTAAATTATTCTTTTAGTCATTCTAATACTATCTATTAGGGTGTTTGGCGGAGGGTTAGCCAAACTTGGTGGGCGTATAGATAGGCCCATTCGGAAGATATTTTCTCAATACACTGATGCCCTTAAGGTCCCCGTTTTTTTATATCATTGCTTTTGTATTATTCTCAAGAATTTTCAAAAATGGACCTTTTAACTTCTGTAACCTTTTAACTTTCTGATATTATCAAGGATACCCTACAGACCAAAAACACATGCAACAAACGTTTTCATAAATATTTAAAAAAAAATTACAGCAGTTGAAAGATTCATTTTTGAAAATTCTTGAGAACAAATGATGAAAAAAAAAAATGGAACCTAAGGCCACAATTGTATTGATAAAATATCTTCGAAATGGGCCTATCTATACGCCCACCAAGTCTGGCTATCTCTCCGCCAAACACCCTGTATACTTTTTTTCCGAAAAAAAAACGCTTATTTTTGAATTTTTTTTTATTTGAAAATCGAATTTTTAAACTGGCGCGAAAACGCGAAACTGGTTTGTGACGTTACAAACCAGATAATCAACAAAAATGCGAGAATGCCAAATTTCTTATTAGTAAATCATTACACATTTCACTAGCTAGAAACTATTTTCGTCCTTTACTACATTATGAAAAAATAAAGGATGAGTATAATCGTTATAATCTCATTAAAATTTCGCATTTCTAAATGTGGCAACAAGCGCGTCAAAATCGGCTTTAGCCAATCAGAGGGCGTTTCCAATCACGTGATTTTTTGTTTAAATTTTTAATATTTATTTATTAATTTACTTAAAAATCTGACTAAAATCTTGCAAAATATTTTTCATTCTTGGTTGCATTAATGTATCTGCGTCCAAAAATATCATAATTCATAATTTGCCATATTCCTGGCACGTGAAACTGGCCCATTGTATCGTCCCAGTGCTTTTTGAAAAGGGTATGGGAGCGTTTTTTTATCATATCTCTGGCCGCCGAAATGGTCAGCCCTATACGAAGGGGTCCGGTCCAGAAGGCTGTAGCCTGGCGGCCCTTCTAGCTCGAGCTTCGGCAGCCCGATTGCCTTTGCTGTGATCACTGATCATGTCCTTTGATCCAGCTGACTACCACCGTGTTGTTGATCGACGCTTCGGTGAGTGTAAGGTGGCAATGTTGTACTTGTTCTGACGTGAGTCGCGGTCTAGATAGCGCTAGTACTGCTTGTCTGCAGTCCGTGTGGATGTGCACGATCTTGTCATTGATATTGTTGCTGACTATTTGTTCGGCCGCGATGGTTATGCCTTTATTTTTCGTTTGGAGGACATTAGGCATGGAGCCAAGGGCTATAGCTATGTTCAGTTTGAGAGGTTTGGAGTATACTCTGCACCCGAGCCTGTTTGAGTTTTGGAACCATCAGTGTAGATGCTACTTAC